TCCTCACGTAAACAGTATTCACTACTTCCACCCTCCTTTCCTTTTGTAAATGACAATTCACAACACGTTTGTCTATTTTTTCACATATTCTACTACTATTTATGCATGCACCACTTGTTCATAACATTTCATTTTTTGTACTTCTTTACTTACCTTTTTCAAAAATTTTTTCCTGCTTTTTTCTTATGAATGACAAATGATAACATTCAACTTTATATTTTCATATTTTTCAAATACTCTCATTGATAACTACAGACAATTTCTATTTTTCTCTTTACGCGCTTCGCGATGGCGGACGCGACATTTGAACGTTTACACGTGGTATTTCCCGATTTCTCCTCCAATGAAAGGCATTACAAATAATTATTATTATCGTTACCAATTTTAATAAAAAAAATTTTTGAACGTAGACAACCCTAATCACTGCAATGCAAATAAAAATTATGATAATCTTTTTTATGATCGTAATGCTGTTTTTCTTATGCAACCCATTTTACAAAATCTTTAAACGCTGCAAGCACCGCCATCTGCCAGGTTTAGTCACAACTATTTTGACAGGAGAGTTGAAACCGCATGGTACCAACCCAAAGTTGTACTGACCATAGATCAAGTATTGACTAATCTGTGGTACTGACTGAAGCTAGCAACACTAGATAGAATCTCACATTAAATTATAGAATAGTGGCTGTTTAACTGTTGAACTAGCAATAAGAACACCTAAACGTTTTCAGTCGTATGCAAATGGCAGACAATGCGCTGAACTTTGTTAAAAAATTGTAGCGTCGTTTGTGGGTTCTAGGTATGTTATCGCATAATTGTGCGTCAATTAGTTTTGCTTAAAAAAAAAGGAAAATTGTTTCGAGTACTAGAAGAAATTCAATATCCATTTATTTAAAAACTATTGATAATTTTACCAGCTTTCTAATTCTAATTTTATCATAATTCAATTGACGCATATCGATTGCACGCCATTGGTACATGAAGACTGATGCTATTTATTGCTAATAAAAGTTAAATTGTATCATTAATATTACTAATAGGCATGGACCGATAAATAGTAAATTACAAATTAAATGAATGTTTAATATATTATCATCTTATTTATAATTCACCATTCACGTTGAGGTTTGAGTTCATTTGGACTTATTTCAATATGGATAAGTTAAGAAATAATAACTAGAAATTTTCTACTTGACATACAAATATTCGAATTCTCACAATATTTTTTCATGTATAACAGATGTGAAATTTTTATTAAATTGTCCCTAAAATCACTCAATATAAAAGTGCCATTCAACACGGTTATACCCTTTTATCCTTTGTGTATCTATTATCTATGGTTATACCCATCTCTTTGTTTCAGGATAGCCAATTGTTATGAAATTAAAAGGAAACGGTGGATGGCGACTTCTGGCGGTGAATAAAACGAAAGCAGTTTGGAAAAGGTACTTATAATAGAGATAGGTCTATAATTTATTACTTTTAAAAGATCGGTATGACATACGAGTTCCTCCAAGCAGTGAGGGAGTAACGAGAAAAAAATACAACGTGTAATTATCCAACACGCTATTGAAGTGAAACTTCTTCAAACACACAAACATACCGGGATAGGGGTTAAGGAATTGGTTTAATATTATTTATTGGTATTATTTGTGCACTATGAATTTAAATTTTACACTATACTAACTCGACTACGTGGCCGAGTAGAGGGGGACATCCGTTGCATGATTTCGTTACATAGCAACACGTATGAAACCAACTTACCCTACCGTGCGTAAAGAAGTTTCACTTCAAAAAAAAAACACTTGTGCGTCCATTAATTTTGTTTAAAAAAAAAGGAAAAGTTGTTTCGAGTGTTAAGTGGAATATATTATATAATTATAAAGACTATATAAGATAAATTCCGCTTAGGTACCATAATAGCGATAAAAGCTCTTCAAGAAAGCTTACCGGAAGGTAATGTACAGTTTTATTTTCTGAAATGACAAAAGTAAAAAACCATGTTTTTTTGGCTGAAACTATTAGTAGTTCATCGCTCTTGAAGAACTACGCTTTTCGGGTCCAGTAACACAACTGCACAGGCATATTTCTGGAAAGTTTAACCGTGACATGACCGCCATCAAAACCCTCAGGCGCTTCCAACGTCACAAGACGTAGATCGCATCCGCACCTACTTCGAAGAAGTAGAACCTGGTAGGGACCCTTTGGAGCTCGCTACCTTCATACCCTCCATCACAATTACACCTGCTACCCTGGAGTATGACACCTTCACCTCGGGGATCCCTAAAGATTTTTCGGTCCCCACCTACGAGGGTGGATTGATAAGTTTCCGGCCTGACCAAGAAAAACAAGGTTTTTAAAAATTTTTTTTTTTTATTTCTCAACATAATCTCCTCCAAGGCTGATACATTTCTCATAGCGGTGTTCCAGTCTATTAATGCCATCTCTATAGACTGATTCGTCAAGCTCCTCAAAATAACCATTTACAGCTTCGATTACTTCTTCATTGTCCGCAAATCTCTTACCGCCAAGCCATTTTTTGAGATTAGGGAACAGAAAATAGTCACTCGGGGCTAGGTCTGGAGAGTAAGGAGGGTGCGGCATCAATTCAAACTTTAGATCGTTGATTTTAGCCGTCGCAACGATTGACGTGTGCGCTGGTGCGTTATCGTGATGAAACAAGATTTTTTTCTTCGCCAGATGAGGTCGTTTAATTTTCACCTCGTGGCTCAAACGTTGCAATAAGTCTGCGTAGTATTGACCAGTGATAGTATTACCCTTTGCAAGGTAATCAATGTATATAATACCTCTTGCATCCCAAAAAACAGTAGCCATAACCTTGTTCGCCGAAAAAATTGTTTTTGCCTTCTTTGGAGTTGGTTCCCCTGGTCCAATCCACTGTTTAGACTGTTCTTTGGTTTCAGGAGTGTAGTGGTGGACCCACGTTTCGTCAACGGTTACGAATCGACGCAAAAATTCGCTTGGATTACGCTTATACAATGACAAATTTGCGGTAGAAATGTTTTTTCGAATCAATTTTTGGTCGACTGTTAGCAAACGCGGCACCCATCTTGCACAGAGCTTTTCCATATGCAAATGTTGGTGCAAAATATGTTGCACACGTTCATATGACATCTTACAGGTCTCAGCTATCTCACGCACTTTCAATCTGCGGTCTCCCAGCACTATTTGATGAATTTTTTCGATCATATCTGGAGTTGTGACCTCAACGGGGCGTCCTGAGCGAGGCCCATCAGAGGTGCTCACACGACCCTTTTTAAACTCGGAAACCCACTGCTTAACGGTTGAATATGACGGGGAGGATGTCCCCAGTGTTGAGTCCATCTCTTTTTTAATTTCCTTCGGCGTTAACCCCTTCAAATAAAAGTATTTGATGACAGCACGATTTTCCTGCTTTTCCATTTTTACGAAAACCACAGAGGCGTCTTGTTCAGCGTGCTGTCAAACCTACACTAGCAAGGAGATCGGGCTGAAACTATAGCTACAAGCTATCCAAGGATGGTACTATAGAATGTCACCTCAAGGTAGGCCTAGTGGCGTCATCTCTTGGTTAGGCCGGAAACTTATCAATCCACCCTCGTATGTCTCCGATGGTAGTTCACCGCAGCCGAACACACCACCTTCCCTTCAGGTCTCATTCCCGGACAACAAAACATCCACCCAGGCCGTAGATCTAGTAGCTGAATACTTACGGCTGCTATTGTCTCACGAATCCACCAATGCAGGGGACATCTCTCTTCTACAACTCCTCCTTCAGTCAACTCCAATGCGAAGACTACCCTGGAGGAATTCTTTCTCTGCTTGCGCGGTGACGGGAGGACATCCAACGGACGTATGAAGACTCCCCAGCCTGCGAAGACCCCCCGCTCATTCACCCTCGAAACGTCGAACCAGGATTCTCCATTATCAACTTGGTCAGGAGCTCTACAAGTCCAAAAGAGCCATGCTGTCCCAAAAGATCATCAACAGTCTGGATTATGAACAGCCTCCGACCCCCCCCCCCCTCATCCAGATGATCTCCATAAAACATATTCTCGGATTTTAGCCGCGACCGACACCACCAAGGGCCTTCCAATCTCTTTTATCGACAAAGAATATATCAATATAGGTACGATTTGTTTTTTATAACGCATCGTGTCCTATTAAATAAGTTTCATTACTGAAAGATATGAATTTTTCTGCAATAAGACAAACGTAAAATATGGTACAAAATGAAGCTAACAAAGCCAAATATATTGGCAATTGTTTTCAAGTCATGGTTAACTTAAACAGCCGAGTTTCATTCTGTACGAAAAGTTTAGTACGTAATTTTTTGTTTCCTCTACAAATACCTTAATTTGAACTTTATTTATATTTGTATGTACCAAGGACATACCTACGAGTGGGCTTAAGTATCTACTATTAAATAAATTGTACGTATATTGACAAGTAATATTCTCTGTTGACAATGATTATGATAGTTTCAGGAAAAAATATGCTTTTACACTTTTCTTATTTCAAAGTTTCTGTTGTATGTACATTTATATTTATTTAGTCTTATTATATTACTTTATTTATTTCATTATAGTGAGTTGGTTATGTACAATGCCATCTATAGCTAATTTAAACTGAAACTGCAGAAGCTGTCATATTTATAACACTTCATCCTCAAAATTTAAATGACTTAATTTTACTTCTTTTCCACTTTGTTCAGGTTTTGTTTTTTTTCCTCTTGTAGGTTTTGGCGATTTCCCCACTACATATTCTGGCATAATTAACTTGGAACTTACAAATATTGTCTTACTTTCTTTTGTGTCAGCATCGGTCTTGTGAGATTTTGATTTATTAAATTTAATTCTTTCCCCAGATAATTTTTCCTCGTTAACTTCAACTTGTTTTCTGTTCTCCATATCTTCTAAAAATGACATGGCAGCAGAAGTATTGCTTTTTTCAGACATATCCTCAGCAGTAATATCGCTCAAAGTGTATTTTGTCCATTTATGTGGATTTTTTTTGAAGTCTGGGATTTTTGAAAACTGAAGTCTTTGATTGAATGGACTGTGCGGCTTTTTAAATATACTTTCCTTTCCTCTAAAATGTCTAGGCTTAGCAATGTAATTAAAATCTTCATTAACAAGGTTTTGATCAATTTTATCATTAGTATCCATTAGTTCAATAGCATTTTGTAATAAGTTCTTTGACTCCTTTTCTATCAAATCCAATTGACTGAAGATATTTTTCTGACGATTATTAAAACTTTCATTAGCACTGCTTACGTTAAAGCCATTTGCGTTTTTAACTTTCATCTTTACTAATGTATGTATAATGTGTTTGAGACTCAAGATACTTTTGGTAGGATCTTCACTTGCTTGCGGTTAGTGCTTATTATATCTTTTGGTTAAATGATATAATTTCAGATGCACGATTGTAGCAATATTTATTAATTTTGTTTTTGTACTTAATATTGACTTTTACGTTCAACTCTTTTGACAACTCAGCGCCATAGATAATAGATATACATACTGTTGCCACAGATCTAAATTTTATCAAGTGAGTTAATTTATTAAAAATGAGCGATTATTTTTTCTTGTTGAAAAAAATCAATCTACATTAAATTACGTCAGTCAACTATTAAAATGTTTGAAAATTTCATGGAAAGAGAGTGAGCGAATTTCTATAGATTGTACATTATTGTAGTATTTTTCATAGACATATATTAATGGACGTGCCCTAGCCGTATGTCGTTGTAATAATTTCTTGCCTCGAAAATTGAGGGAGATGACGTAGGTTTCAGACTAGTGCTATCTCTTTCATGACACGCCTACGCACTATCGTGAGAGAGATGTTGTCCGAAATTTCGTTCCATCTCTTTCTTTTATTGTACCACAATTCTGACCACTAAGGCATGTCCATTATAAACGTCGATGCTCGGCATCGACATATACTAATTATTATATGTCTATGATTCTTGGCATTATGCATTTGTGCAGATCTTCGTATAATTTTTCCGCATCTCTCACTCTGCTTAAGTGAACGGTAATCAGAAGAGTTTTACAGATTTGTTAGCTCTACGAGTTAACTCTCATACCGAAACTCCCATAGTATCCCATAAAAATTTAACTTCAAAAATATAAAACTGTATTGGCTTTGCTAAAATTTATTACGTAAAGTTTTACCTTTGTTACAATTTATCTTACTGCAGTAAACATAGACAACCTTTGCTTTTAGGAACATTTGCCGCGAACCGTCGCAGAAATATAATTTGACGCTTCTGCGTAATCTTTTGTACGTCATTAGTGCTGCCTGCAGTAGCTTTCGTAAATCCGTGGCAAGCTTGAAACGCGTTCGGTTCATTACAAGTTCATAGTGGTTCATAGCGGTACAATGGTTTTTTAAATTCAATTAGCCGTTGGAATTTTTTCGCAAAATTAGTTTAATTTTTTTTTACGCTTGTGTGAAAAGTTAGATTGATTGATTTATACTATATTATTATTTTACTTAATTGTCCACAACATAAATTAAATTGACAGATGCCATGTCACCATTTCATTCGATTTTGGCGGAGGTTTCTCATTACGTAATTTTGTTTTATTTCATGTTTCATTTATTTAGCGTGTGTTCCGAAATATAACTCAGCATGCTGGCCAGTGCTGATGACGTCAAGAATCGACGCCATATTGTACTGGTGTGCCACCATATTGTACTGTTGAGATAAGTGTGATGTAGTAGTATATCAAACTGATGTGTGTGTATCTAACTTTGAGGAATTTTTTGTTGTAAGAAACTAATATTTTTTGGAGCAAAAGTGTTGTAAACGAGCACAAGTTCTATTCTCAATATGGCGTCAATTTGACGTCAAAGCACTGTCCAGTATATTTCGGAACGAATCAACAGTATGGCGTCGATTCATGACGTCATCAGCACTGGCCACTATGCTGGGTTATATTTCGGAACACAACCTTGATGCTTATCGCCATTTTATAGTTCAGCTGTTTCCTTGGTTTTTAATGCGTGTTTTTGGGTGTGTTTAATCTCTTAATTAATAGTGTAATGAATATGTTCTTTTGCCAATTTCTACAGATCGTTCAACAAATGAGGAGGGAGTTAAAGTTCAATTTGGTCGTACTGAAACAATCATTGTCTACATGGGTGTGGTCTTTGCAGTTAGTTTTGAACTGATGAGTGAGAGCAACTGGATATTTATTTGAATTCCACTGAAATTAGAAATTTTCTGCATTGGCATGCATTACTCCTGGATTTGGTTTGCTTTTCACACCTGCAAACTTTGAACCATTACAGTCTACAGTTAATTAAGGTGAGAATACTTGATATAACTAATTTTAATTGCGCTTTATTAATGTACAGTGGGATTTCTTTTAAACTGTTACCTTTTGACCAGAGTATAGATTGATGTTGTGACGTATATATAGTATTAAAAATATCTATAGTCCACAACATCTATGGTATGTCGTTTAACGTTTATGTATTGTTTAGTTAAAATCGAATGGTGCATCTGTGGAATTTAAAATAGTTATCTATCGTCTACATGCTATCGTGCATCTATGATTAGTTTACATTTATCTGTCAAATTTGGTCTGTCATGCAAACTTGACACTTGTCTCCATTTTATAATTCAGGTGTTTTATTTGGCTTTTGGTGCGTGTTTTTAGGGTGTGTTTAATCTGTTCCTTAATTAATACTGTAAGTAATATGTCTTTTGCCCATTTTTACAGATCGTTCAACAAATGAGAGGGAGTTATATTACGTTTGGTCATACTGAAACAACCATTTTCTACATTGGGTGTTGTCTTTAGTGAACTATATTCTTGATTTGCTGTTTTCGTCTTCGCTTTGCATCATCATGCAGTTAGTTTTGAACTGATGAGTGAGAGCAACTGGATACTTATTTGAATTCCACTGAAATTAGAAATTTTCTGCATTGGCATGCATTACTCCTGGATTTGGTTTGCTTTTCACACCTGCAAACTTTGGAACATTACAGTCTACAGTTAATTAAGGTGAAAATACTTGATACAACTAATTTTAATTGCGCTTTATTAATCTATAGTGGGATTTCTTTTAAACTGTTACCTTTTGACCAGAGTATAGATTGATGTTGTGACGTATATATAGTATTAAAAATATCTATAGTCCACAGCATCTATGGTATGTCGTTTAACGTTTATGTATTTACAGTTAAAATCCAGTGGTGCATCTGTGGAATTTTAATAACTATCTATCGTCTACATGCTATCATGCATCTATGATTAGTTTACATTTATTTATCTGTCAAATTTGGTCTGTCATGCAAAGTTGCGCTTGTCTCCATTTTATAATTGAGGTGTTTCATTTGGCTTTTGGTGCGTGTTTTTAGACTGTGTTTAATCTGTTCCTTAATTAATACTGTAAGTAATATGTCTTTTGCCCATTTCTACAGATCGTTCAACAAATGAGAGGGAGTTATATTAAGTTTGGTCATACTGAAACAACCATTGTCTACATTGGGTGTGGTCTTTGGTGAACTATATTCTTGATTTGCTGTTTCGTCTTTATACAATTAGTTTTGAACTGATAAGTGAGAGCAATTGTATGTTTATTTGAATTCCACTGAAATAAAACTTTTCTGCATTGGCATTACTCTTGGATTGGTTCGCTTTTCACACCTACAAACTTTGGAACATTACAGTCTACAGATAATTAAGGTGAGAATAGTTGATGTAATTAATTTTAATTGCTCTTTCTTTTAAACTGTTATTTATTGGCCGGAGTATACGATTGATGTTATAGCATATGTATAGTATTTTAAACATTTATAGCGCACAGCATCTATGGTATGTCGTTTAACATTTATGTATTGCTTAGTTTAAATTGACTGGTGCATTTGTGGAATTTTAATAATTATCTACTGTCTACGTTATAAATTAATGTTGTGAGCATCTATGATTGTTTCACATTTCTATGTCAAATTTCGTCTGTCATGCAAACTTAACGCTTGTCGCCATTTTATAATTCAGATGTTTTACTTGGATTTTGATGCGTGTTTTTAGGTGTGTTTAATCTCTTCCTCAATTAATAGTGTAATTAATATGTTGTTTGTTGTCCATTTCTACAGATCGTTCAACAAATGAGAGGGAGTTGAAAGTTCAGTTTGGTCGTACTGAAACAACCATTGTCTTCATGGGTGTGGTCTTTGGTGAACTACATTCTTGATTTGCTGTTTTCGTCTTCGCTTTGCATCACTGTGCACTTGGTTTTGAACTGATGAATGAGAGCAACTGGATATTTATTTGATTTCCACTGAAATAAGGAATTTTATGCATTGGCATTATTCCTGAATTTGGTTTGCTTTTCACACCTGCAAACTTTGGAACATTACAGTCTACAGTTAATTAAGGTGAGAATACTTAACATAATTAATTCTAATTGCTCTTTATTAATCTGTTTGCCACCGTATCTGTTTCAGATCGACGTTAGAGAAGACAAAGATGACCCCGTAGTTGAAATAGTTCTCTATCTTGCATGCTCTATCTAGTAGAAGTTGATTAAGTTGATTTTATTCAAATTAAATTTTTATTTTGAATGTTTATTTTTTCATATTGTTTGAAGTAATTGTTGATTGTAGATGTTATAATTTTTTTTTGTATGTAGTAGTAGTGTAGTAGTAGAAATAACACGTTTAGTAGTTGTAGTATAGTCTAACCTTGCTTACCTCTTCGCTTAGCTTACTGCATATTCTTCCTAATTTGCTTTGCATTTACCCTACGAGTTCTACATGATTCAACGTTTCGTTATCGTGTGTGTTTCTTCTCACCCTTGTGGAATTAGGGAGGGCCTCCCCGAACGACTTCCCTTGGGCTTAGCTATTTAGTTGATCTTAAAAGTGTCTTATACACTTTTCGCGAGTCTACTCTAGCGTTACTTCCTTTCAGACAGGGTACAGTGGGTTATCTGGAATAGGAGCAATAGGCGACTGCCCAGCTTGCCTTGGCGAAATCTGTCCGATCTTCTCTACCAAAGCTATTAGTATTTGTCGTTAGTCCTTGTAATTGCACTATTCGCTTTCAGGTAACCGAAGAAGACTGAAGACATCGTATTGTTTGCTTTTTATTGTATTTTCTTTGAAATTTCATGTGTTTTCTTGTCTTTCTCTTACAGGTGTTTTGTTTTTTACTGCATAAACTGTTATATCTTTATAATCATCACTTAGGTACAAATTTAAAATGTTTCTAAATTAATTTTTTGGTATAATTGTTAAATTAAATGAATTATTTGTTTACGCTTTCAAAATTTATGTTCGTTTGGGTGGATAGGGTGGCTATAAGGGGAGATGCGGAGGCCACAGAAGGTTAGGGAGGCTTTTTTCTCCCTAATCTTGCATTTAAATAATAGTGGTATGACAGTTTATGCATAGTAATTGTATTTTCTTTGAAATTTTATTGATTTTCTTGTCTCTCTTACAGGTATTTTATTTTTAACTTTTATAAGTCGTTAGAATGTATTATATCTTAGATATTTTGTTTATATTGATGTATTGTTGTTATTTGAAATAAATTTGTACTTTGTTATAATAAATGTAAATTATTTTTTGTAAATAATAAATGTATTTTCATTGTATTATCATTCTTTACTATTTAAATAAATAAATAAATAAAGTATGTGGTTTTAATTTTGTCCTTAGTCTTGAACAACAGTAGAGTAAAATAGCATAAATACTATAAAAAGAAAGGAAATTGTGTCAATTTTTGAAAATTACCAGAGCCGTCATATGCTTAGGAGCTGAACAATTTGAAAAAAGCTGAAGTTAATCCCGCGTTTTAATTCTGAACTTGGAAAAAGATCCAATGCAACTTATGCTCTCCTAATACAAACGTTGAAATTTATGAAAAATTTCGGTTTTGAGCCAAATACGAGGGTTAATTAAAAAGTAGTGGAAAAATCAAAAATTGTTTTTTGAAATTTGGTTGTTCCATAACTTTTTGACCAGCCCTCGTATATGACGTAAAACTGAAAATTTTGTTAAATCTGAAAATTTGTATTAGGAGAGCATGTCGCAAAAGGTCTTTTTTAAAGTACCAATTTTTAGCGCGGAAAACGAAAAACAAGACTGCTATATAGTTGATCCCGCACTAAAAATTGGTACTTTGAAAAAGACCTCTTGCGGCTTATGCTCTCCTAATACAAATGTTGAAATTTATGAAAATTTTCGATTTTGAGCCAAATACAAGAGTTAGTCGAAAAGTAATGGAAAATTCAATTTTTTTGAAAAAGACCCGATGCAACTTATGCTCTCCTAATACAAATGTAGAAATTTGTGAAAATTTTCAGTTTTGAGCCAAATACGAGGGTTAGTCAAAAAGTAATGGAAAATTCAAGTTGTTTTTTGAAATTTGACTTTCATAATTTTTTGACCAGCCCTCGTATATGACGCAAAACTGAAAATTTTGGTAAATCTGAAAAATTGTATTAGGAGAGCATAAGTCGCGAAAGATCCTTTTCAGAGCTCCAATTTTTAGCGCGGGATTAACTATATATGGCAGTTTTGTTTTCTGTTATTCTACGTAGTTTGACCTTGAAACGTTCAATTGCACTAGTACTATAAAATAATAGAAATTTATTGCTCGAATTGCGTTTTTTTATGTAAGTTTAGTTTTAAAATTCAACTTTTAGTGAAAACTTTCGCTTAATTCTTCAATAAATTGCTTGTATATTAGAGATTATTCAATAAAAAAGCTAATAAAATTAAAATATATTTATTAGACCCATATATTTATTAATTACACTAATTACAACATATTTATTTCAAGTAATAGTTTAATACATAATATATATAACGTATTTAATTACAAAACCAGGAAATTAATTAACAGTTTACAGAGTAAAAAGAAAATACCTGTAAGAGANTCTAATTTCAGTGGAATTCAAATAAGTATCCAGTTGCTCTCACTCATCAGTTCAAAACTAACTGCATGATGATGCAAAGCGAAGACGAAAACAGCAAATCAAGAATATAGTTCACTAAAGACAACACCCAATGTAGAAAATGGTTGTTTCAGTATGACCAAACGTAATATAACTCCCTCTCATTTGTTGAACGATCTGTAAAAATGGGCAAAAGACATATTACTTACAGTATTAATTAAGGAACAGATTAAACACACCCTAAAAACACGCACCAAAAGCCAAATAAAACACCTGAATTATAAAATGGAGACAAGTGTCAAGTTTGCATGACAGACCAAATTTGACAGATAAATGTAAACTAATCATAGATGCACGATAGCATGTAGACGATAGATAACTATTTTAAATTCCACAGATGCACCATTCGATTTTAACTAAACAATACATAAACGTTAAACGACATACCATAGATGTTGTGGACTATAGATATTTTTAATACTATATATACGTCACAACATCAATCTATACTCTGGTCAAAAGGTAACAGTTTAAAAGAAATCCCACTGTACATTAATAAAGCGCAATTAAAATTAGTTATATCAAGTATTCTCACCTTAATTAACTGTAGACTGTAATGTTCCAAAGTTTGCAGGTGTGAAAAGCAAACCAAATCCAGGAGTAATGCATGCCAATGCAGAAAATTTCTAATTTCAGTGGAATTCAAATAAGTATCCAGTTGCTCTCACTCATCAGTTCAAAACTAACTGCATGATGATGCAAAGCGAAGACGAAAACAGCAAATCAAGAATATAGTTCACTAAAGACAACACCCAATGTAGAAAATGGTTGTTTCAGTATGACCAAACGTAATATAACTCCCTCTCATTTGTTGAACGATCTGTAAAAATGGGCAAAAGACATATTACTTACAGTATTAATTAAGGAACAGATTAAACACACCCTAAAAACACGCACCAAAAGCCAAATAAAACACCTGAATTATAAAATGGAGACAAGTGTCAAGTTTGCATGACAGACCAAATTTGACAGATAAATGTAAACTAATCATAGATGCACGATAGCATGTAGACGATAGATAACTATTTTAAATTCCACAGATGCACCATTCGATTTTAACTAAACAATACATAAACGTTAAACGACATACCATAGATGTTGTGGACTATAGATATTTTTAATACTATATATACGTCACAACATCAATCTATACTCTGGTCAAAAGGTAACAGTTTAAAAGAAATCCCACTGTACATTAATAAAGCGCAATTAAAATTAGTTATATCAAGTATTCTCACCTTAATTAACTGTAGACTGTAATGGTTCAAAGTTTGCAGGTGTGAAAAGCAAACCAAATCCAGGAGTAATGCATGCCAATGCAGAAAATTTCTAATTTCAGTGGAATTCAAATAAGTATCCAGTTGCTCTCACTCATCAGTTCAAAACTAACTGCATGATGATGCAAAGCGAAGACGAAAACAGCAAATCAAGAATATAGTTCACTAAAGACAACACCCAATGTAGAAAATGGTTGTTTCAGTATGACCAAACGTAATATAACTCCCTCTCATTTGTTGAACGATCTGTAAAAATGGGCAAAAGACATATTACTTACAGTATTAATTAAGGAACAGATTAAACACACCCTAAAAACACGCACCAAAAGCCAAATAAAACACCTGAATTATAAAATGGAGACAAGTGTCAAGTTTGCATGACAGACCAAATTTGACAGATAAATGTAAACTAATCATAGATGCACGATAGCATGTAGACGATAGATAACTATTTTAAATTCCACAGATGCACCATTCGATTTTAACTAAACAATACATAAACGTTAAACGACATACCATAGATGTTGTGGACTATAGATATTTTTAATACTATATATACGTCACAACATCAATCTATACTCTGGTCAAAAGGTAACAGTTTAAAAGAAATCCCACTGTACATTAATAAAGCGCAATTAAAATTAGTTATATCAAGTATTCTCACCTTAATTAACTGTAGACTGTAATGTTCCAAAGTTTGCAGGTGTGAAAAGCAAACCAAATCCAGGAGTAATGCATGCCAATGCAGAAAATTTCTAATTTCAGTGGAATTCAAATAAGTATCCAGTTGCTCTCACTCATCAGTTCAAAACTAACTGCATGATGATGCAAAGCGAAGACGAAAACAGCAAATCAAGAATATAGTTCACTAAAGACAACACCCAATGTAGAAAATGGTTGTTTCAGTATGACCAAACGTAATATAACTCCCTCTCATTTGTTGAACGATCTGTAAAAATGGGCAAAAGACATATTACTTACAGTATTAATTAAGGAACAGATTAAACACACCCTAAAAACACGCACCAAAAGCCAAATAAAACACCTGAATTATAAAATGGAGACAAGCGTCAAGTTCGCATAATAGACCAAATTTGACAGATAAATGTAAAATAATCATAGATGCACGATAACGGTAGTTTATGATGTAGACGATAGATAATTATTAAAATTCCACAGATGCACCAGTCAATTTAAACTGTAAACAATAGATAAACGTTAAACGACATATCATAGGTGCTGTGGACTATAGATATTTAAAATACTATACATACGCCACAACATCAATCTATACTCTGGCCAATAGATAACAGTTTAAAATAAATGCTACTATAGATTAATAAAGAGCAATTAATATTAACTACGTCTTGTTTTCTCACCTTTACTAACTGTAGAAGGTAGAGTTCTAAAGTCTACTAGTATGATGAGCAAACCAAATATAGGAGGGATACCACTGCAGACAATTTGTTGTTTCAGTGGCTTTCAAATTAATTTCCAATTGCCTCCGATTCTCATGGCCAAAACTGACTGCATAATGTTGTAAGATGAAAACATCAAAAGCATCGGTTGTTTCAGTAGCACCAATTCCTTCTAATTTTCAATCTACAGAAACGGGCAAAAAAATAAATCAATTACCACTTTTAAAGCAAGTAGATCAGTAACATTCACACTAATCAAAAGATTAGTTCCATATTAATTCCGCAGCTCACAATCGCGGTTGCACCATAGAAATTTAAAACCTCAGCCCCCAAATAAAGACTGCGTTACCGCAGCTTAACGGTCTAGGTAACGTCCCTAATTACCTCATGAATCACTTTCAATATCGACATGAATCATCAACAGCATCTTTACATAAAATAATCACCAAAATAATTACTAAGCATGCTTAAAGTACTCGGTGAATAACTCACCCTGATTTGAAGGTAAAACAGGTAACAATCGCTAATATTAGAATGTCCTTAAAATATTCACAAGTATGGAAAACACAGAATAACACAAGTGCACTTTAGTATTCCCTTGCCGATCACCACCGCATAAAGTATAAATACATGGGCAAATTAGGTAAAATCTATCTCAACTTAGACCGTTTAACTTAACGTAGAAAGAAATATACATTTCGAACACTATATGTACATCTTTTCGTTCACATTTCGAACTACTATTTATTTACACATATATAAAAAAATAATAAAATCCTTACAGAAAGGCAAAACACTATTACTGGTTATCTTTAATAAACATCTTGTACCACATCAATCACATTTAATCTAATTATGATCTAATCTAATTCATAAACAATGCATGAACAAAAAGTACAATAGAAATACAATACCATGAAGTGACAATACGGATGCTCTCTGATACATAGCTGATCGAATGCATAGTTGCATTGTATTTTTCTGCCTGATTTATTGACACTACACTTATCTGGTTTAAGTGTGCCCTGTCACATTCTGCATGCTTTGCTCACATTTCGGAAACATTGCTTTTATGTTTATATTAGGTTTTAGTTTTGTATTTTTAATTACACGATCCGGCAACGTTGACATTTCATCATACTTTCATTCAGTCTGCCCATAGAGAAGTTAATAAATTTCTGTTAATAAGAAAACCTATGAAGCTATCCTATAAAGAAAACTAGAACTTTATGACAAGAACATAAAGAACTAAAGTAGTTTAGGTTAGAAAATAATCTGTTCTTTCGAAATTATTCAAGGTAGGGTTTTCGTAATTTTTTTAAGTTTATCAGTACTTAAATCGACAAGTGGGTTCCTCTTTGCTTTTATTAAAATATTATAATGTAGTTAAAAAAAAAATGAAAGAATACGTTTTGGCTGCATTGTCTCTATTCCTTTCGATTGTAATCGTATTTTTTTTAGTGGCATTAGGTAAACAAGACATTTATTTTCGCCTTATTTTAAACATCAAAACTTATTTACCATGCTTTCATATTTATCCTAGGTTGGTATATTGTTTGGAAAGCATTCTTATCAAGGTTTAACTTTGTACGAGAATTGTTGGGGACTCTGAATGGTAATTCTCAATTAACTAATTCTCAAGAAACACGAAGTAGACCAAGGAAAGCTAGACGTGACTAATTAATATTTGAAAATGAATATTCGTTGTGCTAAACCTGACGATTTAATGAACATGCAACATTGCAATTTGCTATGTTTACCAGAAAATTATCAAATGAAATATTATTTCTATCATGGACTGAGTTGGCCTCAACTTAGTTATGTTGCTGAAGACGAAAAAGGAAATATTGTTGGATATGTTTTAGCCAAAATGGAAGAAGACAATGAAGATTTAAAACATGGTCATATTACTTCTTTGGCAGTAAAGAGATCCTATCGCCGTTTAGGTATATTAAACATTTTGCACTAATCTGAAAGTAATAGTTAAATTGTGCATACAATGTTTTTATAATTTTCTTATTGTATTATGTCTATTATTTCTTTGTAAGTCAGTTTTCATATAGTTTATTTCAGTGGCTTAAATAATTCTGACATTTCTTGCAAAATTCATATTTTATGTTTGTGAATTTTNGATAGTATAAACTATCGGACAGGGTGGGAAAGGGCGAGGATGTAATGTTCTGATTGCATTTATACCTACCTTCCTTAGTAAAACGTCTAAATGAGTCGTGTAACTCACTTATCATGCACATGATGTTTAACGTCAGGAAAATGTAATGAACTCTCTTTGTCTTATCTGCTTGTTTTGTACTTCTGAGTTGGTAAATATGTTTTTAATAATTTAAACTTGGTATTTTTTACGCCGCAGTCGGGTTTTTAGTTTTTTTAATTATGCTATTTATTTAAACTTGGAAAACTATGCAAAGAAATGTTTTTCGCGACCAACATACATCTTAATCAGCACGCTGAACCAACTGTACAACATAACAAAATTTCAAGAAAACGGGATGTGTGGTCGCTGGAGTAAACAAGTACCAATATCCATCAGTTATTTCGTACCTCGGTCGAAATTAAACTGTTAATATAAAATGAACAAGTAATAATAACGCCATTTTCAGTATAGTTAAACAAAAAATACAAATTAAAATTTAATAAAATGCATTTAAGTCTTTAAAATTACACATTTACGCGTACCTATATTAAACATAATTCTATAAAAATATTTTCACTACTGCATTTATCTTGCAACAAAAAAGTATTACACAAGTATACAAAAAATACAAATACATAATGTATGCATATCAGAATGTTTTAATGACATTTTGATTAATTATAGTACATAATTATTTAAAGCTTTTTGATTTTGGCAATTGTTCAATATTAACAAATTTTACACTGATTTATTTAGCTACCTATATATGTATGAATTGTATGTTTCCTCCTATTTGGCAACTGCTACCAAACATTCAGAAATAGGTTTTACTTACAAAATAGGCAACTCCTTACAAAAACCTACTGAATTGTAAGGTATAAGGAACTGTACCTTACTGTAAACATGTCTATATTAATAAATATATTAATAAAATTATTTCAAAAATAAACTTTTAAAATTACTTATTATTCGTACATGAAAAGCACAAATGAGGGTTTTTATGATGTGATTAAACGTCCATTATAACTACCAGTTTACATATTGTAGTACCATTTGATTTCAAGCGATTCATTGTGAGATAACGTTAATGTTACATCCAAAATCCTACCAGTTTAAAATTTACTAACCGTTTCCGAATTCTAAAACAGCCCTATCATTGTCTTTTTTAATAATCTGTATATATAGTAGTTTACAATAAATTTCGAATTATATTACCTTTAAATTTATATAAAAATGCTTTGAAATTTGAGACTGTTGAAATCGAACCAAAATACTATGCTGACGGGGAAGATGCTTATTCTATGAGAAGAGATTTGTCCGAATTTGCCAAGAAAATCAAGAAGCGGGATGGTAAAAAAGACGATAAACCTGAAGAGTAGTTAAAATGTACATATAAATAATTCGTATTTACAGTATCTACATTTTAAATTTTAATTATCAGTTATAATAGTCTACCTTTGCTTAAAAATATATACATATTATATATAATACACACATATATCTACATATACTCTGTGAGCAACATAAATTGAAACTGCCAATAAATTTAAATAAATTAATGGTTTAAAATAACATCATTGTTTTAGTAGTACTAGTCAAATAGGGATTAAGCGGCTTATAAACACTTGGGTAACTTGCATTTTTATTCATTTTTTTACTAATAATACTCTGGCATTTCATAAAATTCCAGATTAATATGAATAGTTTTAGATTAGGGTGTTTAGAAAAGCAAAACAAATTTGGAAACTTAAGAAAGTTTACTTGATACAACATATTTATACGAAATTCTAAAAATGTCATGTTTTTGTACTGTATTTCTCACATCTCTTACATTACTGTAGATTGGCGATAATTGTTAACATCTCGCGACCGTACAAAATGACCACTACTGAGGTACATTTCCTTCACGTTAGATAGTGTGATCCTTATATTGTTAGTAGCAACAGTTCCTTTCGTTTATAGCAAAGTGAACTCAAAAAGAAACAAATTTTTGGTTTACTTGGTTAACTACGGATTGAGTTTGAATGTTTTACTTACCTTTTTTACCCGACTGTGGAGGAGAGTTGTGTTTGACTTGTATGTATGTATCTGTTCCTATTCAACGACTCCTCGTAACTACTCAACGACCCCTCGTAACTACTCAACGGCTCAACCTATTGTAATAATTATATGTAATTAGATTCACCTTATGATGCGAGTGTTACTGGGTACATAAAATTCTTTAAAATACAAAAAAAAACAAAATGGCCGATTTTTATTGCATGTATTTCATTTTATGTATTCAATATGTCTTTAGTAGTTTGATAGGTAATTTTTACCAGACTGCGGCGAAGCCGGTAGAGGGTTACATTATTCCTAGTTTTTTACTAAAAATCAGGAAATAAATGACTAAAAAATCCGACTGAGGTGTAAAAAATACCAAGTTTAAATTATTAAATGCATTATAGAAACAACAAACAAACTTTCCTAACGTTGAACATGCGGCTGATTTAAAGGTTTTACGAAGAAAAGTAGGTATAAATGCAATCAGAACATAACATCTTCACCCTTTCCCAGTAGTTTATACTATTCTAATTTAAAAAAGTTTATATAATACGTAATTATGAAGATTCAATAAAACTATTAAAGTACATTGTTACATTATATTAAATGTAAATGCAGGCGAGTCCCATTAAATAGAAGCAGAACCCACTCTATTAATGGGTCCACCTGCATTTAAATTAATGTACTTATAATAATTTTATAGAATTTCAATAATTACGTATTAANATTAGTGTAAATAATTATTTGTCGTTTTAACGGTCATTCCAAAACAATGGCGGAATTATTGTATTTTTGTTACGTCGCGTTTCTTATAAATAATTAAATATATGGTTGTGCAGCCTGTAATAAGCACAGTTTTAAGTCTCTGGCGAGGTGAGATATATCCACAACAGCGTCGACCATTTCTTGAACGGCCGTAACACTTGGGAACTGCAATGCGGCTTGTTTCGTTTTATTTACACTGCTCGCAAGTGCATCTGAGAGTGCATTAGCGAAATTTAATACTCGCATTTTTAAATCATTGTTCGTTATATTTCGATGAACTACATCTCCTATGTGCACCATTTTATGAGCACTCAACACTACAAACTTTCCGTGTGCCAAGAAAACTTTAGGCGGTTGATTATGTTCTACCGTTTGCAAAAATGCATCGATTGCCTGCGTTAAACTATTATGATGTGTAACCGCTTGTGTTGCGAAATACAGAATAATTTTTTTGTCGTCTTGGTCCATGATCTCTATGCCTTTAGCATCAGCAGACATCGCCGACTCATTAGCGTTCTTTACAAGAGTATCATAACCCTTTTTAAGTTTATCTGGTAAACAGTTCCGAATATCTGCTTGTTTTTTGGCGACTTCTTCTTTCGATTCCAATTTTACATAATCATAATCGTCGTGCGCTTCTTCGTTATTATTTATTAATGGTGTTGAAACGTTCCTTTTAAAAAGTAACGTGCTATTTCCTTGAATAAAGGAAGTTGCTTGCCGCACGTCTTCTGTAAGAGCTCTAGCGCATGCTATAAGTTGTTCTAAAGCATCAGGTTTTATTTTGTCGGCGTCTTCTCCTTGAGCTAACGCTTCTACTGACCAATTTATACTTTGTAACTGGTTGGAAGCTTCATAAACTAATTTATCAGAGGCCTGAAGAGCACCAACAAGAGGGGTTATTTTAATGGCCAAGTTTTTATCGGAAGCACGAGTTGCATTTCCTAAAGCACCAACGCAAAATTCCATGAGATCTCGCAGCGACGTTCGTAATCTGTAAAAAATGTATTCATCACTTTCCGAAAAAATAATTATTAAAAATACTGCAATGAAAAAGTAACAGTAATTCTTGATATGGATGCATTGTTTGGTAACGATCAACTAACTTGATGAAGCCGTACTTGAAGAGGTAAATTAATACTTTTTCTATTCTTTATAAATGTATCTATCATTTTGTAATTACCTGATCACAGACAATTTTATATCCATTATATTCGCCTCTAATTTTTCTTTGGTTCTCCAGTGTGGACTTACAAATCCTAAAAGTTTTGAAATTGAAGCTGTCGTTTCAGTCTGGAGCTTTTCTAATATTTCCAACGCTGATCCTAATTCTAGAGGTAACTCTTTTAGTTGAGGGTTAGATGAAGGAACATCGTATATTTCATTTTGAGGAGGACTAAGGACCAATTGCGGTCCTTTAGGATGAGATCGAGGAACATCATAGTCAGGCATATTACTGATGCTATTTCTGAAAAGTAAAAATACATTCTTTACTTACAAAGTTACTGAGGATGATATTTATTATAATTACTGGTGCCTGAACTACGTTCTGTTGGTAACCTAAATTCCTCAACCTATTTTATTAAAAATCTGCCAAATTGATACGTTTTAGTAATACAATTTATATGTCATATAATATCATAGTTTTAAATTAATATATAATAGTCAATTGAGAAATGCGAAGATTGGCTCAAGATGGGAAGAAGTAAAGATGCGTCTTGGGGTTGAAGACCGTATGAAATGAAATGATGACAGTAATTGTAAAACAAAAAGTATAGCCTCCTAACCTATAGTAAGTTTAATAACGGGAATGAAATAATGGTAAATTATCCAATTTGAGTATCATACCTGTTTGACGAGCCAAGTGAATCAACGGTTGTAAGGGAACTTGCAGAACTAGATGGCGTTAATGATAGGGAATGTCCAGAAGGAAACATGGTTGGTCGGGGAATGTCGTAACTATTGTCTATTGAGTCCCTACTAGCTGGTGACGCACAAGAGGGTGCAGGTGAGCATCGGGAGCAGCTGCGTGGGGCGTCGTAACATACAGATCCTGGCACGTCATACGATATAGGTACAGCTCTCGGTGGTACGTCGTATAAATAAACGTCGTTGTATTTTTTAGGGGTCAGCACCTACAACAAAACAAAGAGTCTATTTATTCGGATGAATTTACAGTAACTGAAACGCTTTTAAGGGTGAGATATTTAAATAATTAAACAAAATTAAGAGAATACTGAGGAAGTACTCTATATAATAATTTATTAATAACCGTTTGCAAATGCCTTACTTATCCCAAACACGAAATATTTTTAATTGGAATCTGTCAAATGGAAAGAAATGTTTCATGCAATTTTAAAGATGTTAATAGAAAACGTTTTTCCAATTTTTTATAAAAAGACAGAGACAGCTCTTCCACATTATATAATGTAACGATTTCACATAAACCATCCTTTTTTCGATTCTAGTTTATATATAGACTTGTCCAATTATCTTTTTCAGCACAAGATTACCAACTTTTATTTAACTTTGTACTCGGCTAATATATTTATTTCATACTATATAAGTTCGTCAATATAGTCCAGATGCAATAGTTTATTTCATGGAAAAATCTTTCCCTGCACTTTCTCAACTTAATTAAGAGAAAAATCGTAGAAATTACATGTATGCGGACAAAATCGGTTAGTAGCGCAAAAATTCATAAAGGTATCAAAAACAGGTAGCCATTTTCTCTTTTAAGGTCGCCTAGTCGAAGATTCTGACTTCTCGTCGTTATTGAGGATTGAGACTTAAAACAAACAAGTTTGATTGAAGGAAGACGAGGTCTGTTATCAGTACGATCCTGAAGCCAGAAGACACTGTACGGAAGGAAAACACAGTAGCTCTCCCGTTCACAAAATGTTCAAGATTCAACTTAAAGTGATGCTGACCATCTTTTAGAACTCACTCAGTCTACTGCGTTTTTCTTGGATGCCATAAAATTATCACAACTACTCTTAGATGCTTCAACACATACTTAAACCAGCTATCAGGAGTAAACACCGTGGGCCCTTGGTAAAAGGGGCCATTTTTCAACATAACAACCCCGACCCCAGTTGACCCAGGATAAGCTTCAAAAATTGGGTTGGAAGGTCTTATCACATCCAGTGTACTGTGTAGATCTTGCCGCGTCTGATTTTTGCTTATGCAGTCTTATTTTATATCATAAAATGAGGTGAACACTCAATAAACACTCATTGGGGTACAATATGGATCTGTCAAGAAGATGATTCAACTGCTTTCGCCATGCAAAGCTGCAAACTATATGAGTTTACCAACAGAAATGTGAGTGTGGTCAATGCTACATAGGTTGAACATCTACCATGTAGGGTACGAGAACGCCAAATAGATTTTAGATTGGAGAAAACTAGCTGTGAGCATATAAACCAACAAGGGAACATCGGATTGATTTCAAGGTTGTAGTGACGAACCAATGTTATTTTCTATGGGTAATTCGAGAGTCCATCGAAATAATGAAAAATATCAACAATTTCATCAGGGAGAACGTTTATAAACTTAGCATCTGGAAACTGGTATAAGTTCTAAGCAATAAACCGCAGCAACTCGCAACGAGCGACCAGTCACAACAACCTCTGATGAGAAACCAAGAGTGATAGTCATTGCATATCGAAAAAAAAACTGCGAAATAGACAGGATTAAATTGAAAAGCCAACGCCTTCAGTCACCACTGAGCGGCATGGCCTAGAGGTTTAGGCCATTGCTCAGCATTCGGGAGGACCTCGGTTCGATTTCGGGTCCGTCTGCCTTGGTTCATGTTTTTGTGTGGTTTCCTTGGATCACTTAGGCAAATGCTGGAGCAGTAATATTCCACAGATAATCTTTCATTCTCTTCTGTCTTCATTTCGTCCGTCTCATCTTCCTCACCCGAACCACCACCCAACCATTCCCATGATTCCTGAATGGAGGCTGAAGAGGGCTTTCCGCCCTACCTTCCGGAGTAGTCTAGAGGGACTGCCCGCCCATCAGCATAAGTGGCTGGTAGGAATAAAACACCCAAAAGTTTTTAAAGTTTTTTTTTCTTCAGTCACTAGATTTATTTTGATGAAGATGCTAACATAAGCAGCGAATCGTCAAGGAAAATTAACCAACCACGGCGGAACCTGGAAGAGGTTTCTACAGATTCACAAAAGTGTTATTAAATTACCATGATCAGAAATTCACCGGCAGAGTATAAAAACCAGTATCTTCACTTTTACCAACATTCAGTCATCAGGTTATTCAAGACCTAAAACGAGGACATAGCGGGACGGTTTTTAAGATCAATTTTTCTAAGTCAATGAAGACAAGAAAAGAACACGTTCCACTACACAAAGACAAGAAGGCAATTAAATAAGCTCATTTTGGGAGGTGAAGGCAACGTTCGATTATCGAGTGTTCAAAATATTGACCAAACACTTCTTGGCAGTATCCTATCGCTATCGCTCCTTGACACTATCCATTAATCAGTGAAAATTTCATCTAAAAGTAAATGCAGACGCTGCTACCTTATGGGCCTTGACATAGCTTTCAAGGTCATAATAAATGCTACACCCGTCACGAATGTCGCCTTTTAATATCCAACAATTTTTCAATTACTGATCGACCATCCCGGTACTTTTTGGATGCGCTGAATGGAATGCATAAAATATAGTACCCACTTCATTAGTGAAGTATTTACTTCATTGACAATCCCCGTCTGGGGGGTATAGAAACATGAAAAAAAAAGCCTTATTTACGGAATCCAAACATTGATACATAACAAAATGTGACCAAAACGAAATAATCAACTAACAGTATTATGGTCTTGTAATTGATTCAAAGTTGTATTTTTATGTAATAATATTTCGAAATATCTAAAGAAAAAGCCCTTATACAAGTATAATATTAATATACTTTTAATTATTTAGCTGCAATCTGGCTCAAAATTCCAATTTAAGTTATCCAATGTCAGGTAGCGTGGTGTTTTAATAAAAAAGGAACCGTTAAATACGATAATACCTAACGTAAATCTCTATCTATGACTGTCCTTTAATTTGCTTTATGAGGTGCTTCAGTATATTTTAAATTTTACTTACATGTTGTCTGGAAGTGATAAAACTACTCTAATAGTACAAAACAACCACCGTTGGGGCTTGCCTACTGCTCATATGATCACAACAAAAAACTGACCCGATAAAATGACAAGGCGCAAACGTCGTAAAGTGAAAAAAGACAAGAAAGTAGACAGCGTGGGGCCTCGGAATGCTCACATAAAACGCTGTTAATTCGTATGGTGACTGCGATATCCGCCATGTTGCCATGGCGACGACGCGTCCCGGCTCTATCGATTGCCCTGGCAATGAATGGGTCCACTGACGCCTTCGTTACCAGATGAAATGTTACTTTTGTGTACACATAAATACCCAGATGCCCGGTAACCGGCCCAAAATAGTATTTAAAAGTGCATGTGTGTATGTGTGTGTGGATGGGTGCGTGCATGCGCGTGTGTTTAAATGAAAGGAGTGCAAAAAAGGTCGTTTATGGGTCATCAAAACTAAGCCTAGACTGACAACGATAAATATGAGTAACGCAGAGTGAGATGAAGAGCAGAAGGTGTCATAGCACTGGGTGACACAAATGTGGTGGGACGGGGGCGACAAAAATGCTTTTTGAAGTGAAACTTCTTTACACACGGTAGGATAAGTTCGTTTCATGCGAGTTCCTATGTAACGAAATCATGCAACGGATGTCCCCCCTCTACTCGGCCACGTAGTCGAGTTCGTAGTGGGGATCGCTTGAGCTGCGAGCGCGCTTCAATGCAACGTTCGTTATAGGCAACTCCGGCATGTATAGTGTAGCCCTAAAAAAATGTATGAATGTATTTGTATGTGTTTGTGTATGTGTGCCTACACTCTATAGACCAAACGACGCCACTGAAGTCAATTCCTTAACCCCTATCCCGGTATGTTTGAAGAAGTTTCTCTTCAGTAGAGTGTTGTACACGTTGTATTTTTTTTTTTTTGGTATTAGATAGAATCAGGGCTGCCCCACAGTACTTAGATATACCAATTTCTTGGCATTCGAACCAGATTTGCATAATTTTTACAAACTACTAAGAGATTACCGGTTTGGTGCGCAAAACTACCAAGTGTTTTGTGTTGATGAGAAAAGCAATTGTATTGTATTTAACTTTAATTTAAACTATTATATTGTTATATGATCGTACAGAATCAGAAAAATCCAAATCATAGTTTTTAACGTATTTTTCACCAATCTCACTCTTGTTTGCTATTGAACTGATAGTGAAATTCTTAGATTCCATTCAAATATATTACTTAGTATCCAATGTATACATATGTATCTCTATAGGTCTGTAAGGATGACTATTTGTGAATTCAAATTACGTTAATTCTTGTATTTTTCATAAACGGTATTACATCATTAGTGTCTCATACAATAAAGTAAATGGTAAAACGTTCGCTGATTATTACCTTGTCTAAGCAATAATGAATTTATTTTTGAATTAACTTTACTCTCTACAGATAATCTTAAATTAATGAGGAAAAATTGTTGCTGCTGTGTCACATCCTTGCAGGGAATCGAACTCGGGCCCCTGGTTTTACGCACCGGTACTTTACTACTAAGCTACGAGGAGTTGTAGTACTTTTCTTGCAAGGCTTGCACTCGCTGCAAATGATAAGGATGCAGCAACTGTTTGTTTAAAAATTGCCACACTGAGAGGAGCCAACGTTATCTGCTATTGCGTATGTACTATTTGGGGGGTTGACTTCGTTGAAATCTTATTTCTTTTTGTATTTTTTTATAGTATAACAACAGCTGTTCTACAGTGACTGACCTACACTAATAATTAATGTTGTTTTGCTGAATTAGATTATTGAACTGCATAAGGGTTAAACAGTAAAAGTATGAACGGCTACTACAGGTTGGTTGTTAACAAAAACACCCTGACACACATAATTTAACCTAACAAATAAACAATACATGAGCAAAAAGAATACTAAACAAATGGTATTACACTTATGCTAGTAATCAGCAGTTATTGAATGTAGCGTTGCGAACCGCATTTATCAACCAGGGCAGGAATTGACTTTACCTG